CCGAACCATGTGAATTGAACCGAATCCTGTCTGTACCGAAAACTATGAGCGAGACAGATATTCATAACGACCGTAGGAAGGAGAATGTTGACTACTGGAATAATCAATTTACTCTGACTAAAAATGAAATTTTATAGTGAAAAAGCTGAAAAATGGGGGAAAGATTTTATGTATGAATAATATTAATATTATTCTAAATTCACCACAATTAAGTTTTTAAAGCCAACCCCTGTGTAAATCCAAGCTTATGTGAAACGACTACGTTTAAACGCAACCAGGTGTGAACCAACCCCTGTTTAAAACGAACCATTACAGCACAGTGTTTTCAACAACATGGTTCGCACTGCAGTCAAGGCAGATCGCACTGTTATGTTGATATGCTGTATCTAATAACGTAGATTGGAGCTAAACAATTTCAAGGAAGCATTTGCTTTTATGTTTTTTTGAAAATCGTTACTAGAGTTTTGATTCTGATTATAAAATTTAATTCACTGTTGTTTAATGAAAATATCAAAGGGATATTTCCCGAGCTCACCAAAGAGCCCCGTGATTGGCGTACTCCCAGGACACAATGATAGAATCAAACATTAATATCTTCAATGGGTGATTTGGTCGAAAACTCATTACCCCAGACAAGAATGTTAGAATATGTCTAATCAACTCAGATAAACGATACTATATTTATGAATTAAAACTACTTTTGTTTAATTTGCCATTTCCAAATATTGTTAAAACAGACATATAGTTTGTTAACAGACTAGTATTCCATGGTTGAGGGTAGCTGTTAACGGTAGAGCAATAAATTAATAATAATATTAAACAGTTTTTTTTTGCAAAGCTAAATAATAATGACCATATTTACATTGTACATTTTATATTTAGCTGATTTATTTTTTATTTTTGAGAAGAACCATCCAACACTATATTGCAGTTAGTCTTCATTTTGCAGTTCACTAGCACTTGTGACTATTATTTTTATTAAAGCGGGGAGTTGTCACCTGCGCATGCGTCAGATGGCTACAGCGTGTCGTTGTTTACAAACAAGTGTCTACCCATGAGCCTTTGCGTTTTACCGTGTGTTGTTATCGTCGTTTGGGACTCAATTCCTGCGCGTGCGCAGGTGACGATCCTGCCGCTTTAAGTAAGGTTTTAAAATATACTAACCAATCTTTTGGTTTAATGTTACCAGTAGTTTGAACAGGATTTTCCAGAATTTGGATGGGTCACCCTTTGAATTTCTCATCTTGTTGAGTTTGAAATCCTACTCTGATTGCTCTGACGGATTTGAAAAAAAATGCCATGGATATATGGATCGCCAGGATACGTCTGTAATAAATTATCATAGCATTGGAGTTCTTTACAAAAAAAAACAGTAATTGCGATCAATTTTTATTTCTTTTTCTTTTTAATTTCGGTGTAATTTTCTTAAACATTTGTCAGCCATCGAAGAGTCAATCTTGTCACAATTATTTATATCAATTTCAGTGTCATTAGCGATTCCGATTGGCATTAAACCCGACAAGTAGACCTAAAACAAACACGACCTGCGTAATTTTAGAGGTTCATTGACCAGACAATGTGACACGGTATGCAAATTTGAACACGTCATCGCCGCCATTTTAACACTTGACTGTTCACTAGTGCGTGTCATGGATTTGTCCCAGAAATTAGTCTACAAAGGATACACTCTTTATCCGCAAACAGATATCTCCAAACTCGAGAATGGAGTCTTGGAGAAATTTCTCCGTCAAGATGACATCATTGTGCAAGGGTTTCCCAAGTCTGGTAACACCTGGATGATATTCTTACTACAAGAATTATATCCCGATTTGAATGTGTTTCAGCACGGTGACAAGAAAGTGCCTCCAATGCTAGAGTGGTTGATAATGGAACCCACGATGTTCGGTGAGGTCGATACACCCCTACTTAATGCCGTAAAATCATTTCAAATGAACCCGAGCGTGACGTCATCACCACGACTTATCAAATCACATCTCCCGTACGAATTATTCCCAAAGCAAGCACTGCAGACTGGTACAAAGGTTATATACATCGCTCGTAATCCTAAAGATGTCGTCACTTCTAGCTATCACTGGTTTAACAAGGCTTGTGCACTGCAGGGGATAATTACATGGAAAAGCCATCTGAAGTATTTCATTGATGGGAATCTTCCATTTACACCATGGGTAAACCACGTAGCTGGTTGGAGGGAACACAGTGAAGATGAGAACGTGTTATGCGTCACCTACGAAGACATGGTAAAAGACACCAAGACCACTGTCCGCGCGATAACGGAGTTTCTGGGACGCCCTCTTCCGGACTCACAGTTAGAAAATGCTATATCTAACACTTCCATCGATAATTTACGTAATAATCCAACATCTGCCTCTAAAATCGATATGGACGAGACATTTATGCCAAATTATGTTGCTGGCTATTTTAGGAAGGGGAAAGTTGGCGACTGGAAGAACCATTTCACCGTGGCTGAAAATGAGATGTTTGAAGATGTTATAGTGAAGAAATTAAAAGAAAAGGGAATAGAATAGAATTGTAAAAAAATACGGACATTTTGTCAAAGCATGGAATAGGTTGTCGTTCACCTGAAAATAATGAACTCGGATGGCACGTGCAACTCCTAATTTCTGAGTGGATTTATTAGAATAAGCAGAATGTAATGTGTACGTGCATAATGCGTACTGCGTCCACATAGAGAGAGGGGATGAATGGATACGGAATTGGGAAGTGGAAGATG